ATAAAAATAAACAAAAAAGAGTATATATTTTTATATTTATTAACATATATAAAAGATAAAAATTAATATTAATTTTAATAATTATACAGTTAAATTTGTTAAAGTTATAATAGTATTAAAATTAATGTTAGGTTCCATAATTGTCTATATAAGTTAATAAAAAAAAAAAAACAGTAAATATACCTTAGGGTCAGGGACGGAGCCAGGGGATGCAAGGGGGCGCTCGCCCCCTCTAGACTTTTGAAAAAAAAATTAAATAGGTCCTATACTTTTAAGAAAAATTAAATAAACTCTTTTTGAAAAAAATAAATTGTGCGTTCTAACCTTTATTCTTTTATAGATTTTATGATGAATTACTAATAACTTAATAAGTAAAATAAATTTAATAAAATATTTTTATTGAATTGACATATTTGTCATTGCAATATATGCATAGTGAATAATTATTTGTATCAAGTAATAAAATAAAATTGACTTAAAATTGGTATTATCAACTTTTTAAAATATTTAGTTTTACTATTTAGATAATATTGAGTAATATTTTATAATAGAAGTTATATTTCATATTAGAATTTAAACATACAAAATTTAACAAATTTTTCTACATTTAAGGTCTTTAAAATTTTAATTTTTATATATTTAAATATTAAACTTATTTATAAATTACAAGTCAAGAAATTCATTTTTAACATATATGTGTCAAATGGCACTTTGCTGCTAAGATTATTTTCTGACTCCGTCCCTATTTAGGGTATATATATATATGTGTGTGTGTGTGAGATAGAAACACCCTTTGTTTTTTCTGTCAACATTTAATTAAAATGTAACTAACGCCGATGAGCAAGAGGAGCAAGAGAGTAACTAAAATCAAGATGTTGTTTTCTTTAGTTTTGATAATGGGTTTGACTAACCTATATTTAAAGGGTACAAATTAGGAATTAAGGTATTAATTGTATTTTTTTACATTTAATTTTTATAGAAAATAACAAAGTTGACATTATTTTAATTAGATAGTTGATAAAATTAAAATTATTTTTTAATTGTTCAATACAAATTAATTACAAAAAAGTGTAGTAAATAAACCCTTAATGCAACCTTATCCTGCGTCTTAAGGGCACATGTTAAAAATTTCCTTTGGTAATTATTTATCTTTTGGTTTGTCTAACCTATACCTTAGACAAATGTTAAGAATGTATTAAATATACTATTTTATAATGAATTTACATAAAAAATTGTAAAAGTTGACATTTATTTTAACATTTTTGATATATGTATAGTTTTAATTAGTCAATTGTAACATCCCCTTTTTGATAAACTAGAGGTTTATTAAGTAGGGAGATGTATTGCACAACTAAGAAAAAAAACATAGAAAATACCTATAAAATCAAAATGTTCATTTTATGTACTATTCCCAAGCTCAATACAGTACAAAATAAGTTAAAAATTATAGAGTCAAATGGAAGTTTTGGGTAGATATAGATTTGCCTTACTGATATTTGAAGCACAACTTACAGTTAGCATAGGACCTTTACCCACAAAAATTCTGAAGGATAACAGCTGTTCTTCACTGCTACTATTTGAAATGGTGGGAAAAACACCATGAACTCACAGCCCAGTAAACATAATTCTAAATCTTAAGTTAAGTTGACAATCTAATTTTAGTATTTTATGCAAAAAAATTCCTTTAGTTCTTAGTTGACCCAACCTTGCAGAAAATTAAGGCATTGTAACCACAAATGATCACACAAACATAGTGCATCAAAATAGAAATAACACAAACTATGGAGTCCACTGAATGTGCATGCACTCACATTAGGTGCCAGAACTAATCATAGCACTTATTCACTGTGCATAGATTCACTGTTCTAAGCCCCAAACCTAAGTTGGGGTCCAAACTCTTCATAGTTCTAAGACAATTGCATAATAGCACCATATGTAGCACATAATCATGCATAACAATTTTCAATGTTTACTTAATATGGTTTGTAGAACTAATGGAAATAGGCTATAATGAAGTACCTAGGTCAAATACATAGGACATAGTCCAAAAAAGATGATACACATAACATATTAATCTCACAACTTGAACTGTAAAAATTTCACAGTTTCAGCATAAGAGATTTCTAGTTCAACTCACTACTATATTTATTTCTCTCGTTTATTATATAATTTAAATTGCAGCAACTTAATTTTTTATGCTTATTCTATTATTTTACTTACCTTTAAACTTTGTTTGACAACCTTAACTTAAAATTAAGAATCACACTTATCACACACTTCTTTCAAAATCTTGAGCTCGGTAGAATTCTTCAAGATTCTCCAAGTCTGCCTAGCCTATTTGCACCTTCTTTCTCTTGTGCTCTTTCGGTCCAACTATAGATAGAATATAGGAAAATAGCTAATTTAGTGATATGGCTTAAGAAGTTCCGGTCAAGTGGGTTTTAAATGCTGCTCACTTGGCCCACTTCTCATCCAACCACATATTATTTATTTTAATAGATTATAGATAGCTGGACTGCGCTAAATCTCCTTAAAATAGACATCTGGTCTGCAACTTTTAAAATAACATGTAGACTCCATAATTAACAATTATTATAAATTAGTTCCTAATTCTAAAGGAGATGAAGGACTCTAACTTTGGACTTAATGAAAATAAGGACCTATTTTCTTTAACTAATTGCAAATAAGGACTGAGATTTCACATCAATTGATTAAATTAATATCAATAATTCTATTTTTCATACAAACTAATTACAAAATTGTGTAATAAATACATCTTTAACCTATACCTTATAGTTCATGATAGAAAAATTGTTATCTTTTTTTTTTTTTGGTTTTTTTTTTTTTAATACTAGAGCTACGTTATATCTAAGTGGACAAATCTGATGCTAGCATTTGAGAATGTTGGGAGTCTACATTGCATATGCTTTAAGGTAGTCTTATATATATATGTATTATTTGCCTTCTATTTTTATGATGGGTTTGTCTTGAGGACACAGTGCAAGAGTGTAACAAATGTATTTTTTATAATTAATTCACATTAAAAATATAAAAATACAGATTGATAATTTTAATTAGTTAATTAATGAAATTAAAATGTCAATATTTATATTTTTTTATATAAATTAATTAATTATAAAATGGTGCATTTATTATATCTTTGAAAAACCATTTTATCATGACACTCGCTCCCTTTGTTTCAGAATAATATATGCTTTTTGATTTTATATTTTTGTTAAAAATTTAGGATAATTTCTATTTTTACCTAATTTATCAGAAAAAAAATAAAAAAAATAAAAATTTTATGATAAAATAAATAATTAAAATCAAGAAAAAACAATAAGATTAAAGTAAAAAAAAATATTTATTTAATTTAAAATACAAAAAATAAAAATGAAAAAACACTATTATTGTGAAACCTATTCTAAATAATAATAATAAAAAAAACTTATATAATTCTGGCACAAGAGAGTAATGTTTTATATTTTGTGAGGTATAGTCTTATGATAAGGTTATATTAGACACTCCGTTTTTCCCTATGCAGAAGCGATATACCTTATCATGCCAGCTCATATGAATTAATCAATTAATAACAAACAAGATTAATAGAAAATATGATTTAAACAGTATTTGACCCAAAACTAATTGGTAATTTATTTATTTATTCTTTTTCATGGAAACTAATTGGTAATTTATAGATACTCTTAACCAGCTTAATTTCTACCTAATTAATGTGAGATTTCTTATTAATAGGTATGACGGCAATAATTTCTACACACAGAGCACAGGGCAAGGGCATACTGTGATTTGTGGGGACCCGACTGCATCGAATCCCACCTCCTTTAACGCATCGGTTGGAGGGCTTTTAAATGACCTTCTCATGGCAACCCCCCGGACAGATGGGTACTTCGCCACCAGTAAGAAGAAAGTGAGTGGGAACATAACGGTGTACGGCGTGGCACAGTGCATAGAAACCATCAGCGAAAGCGGCTGCCGGAGTTGCATGTCTGTGGTGTATAGCGACATTCGGCAATGCCCTCCTACGTTGGACGGGCGAGCTATGGATGTGGGATGTTTCTTGAGATACTCAGAATCTCCCTTCTTTGCTGATAATCAAACTACTGACATTGCCCGCTTCCTCGAGAACAGTGAGCCCGACCATTAATTAATTTTCTCCATTTCTCTGGAACTTCCAATGTCTGGAACCTTATTTAATCTTTCAATTAATTTTTAAAGTGATATTTACAGACAGTTCCAGCAAGAAAGATGCTCTGATCGGAGGACTGATCGGGGGCATTGGGTTCCTACTACTTGTTCTAGCCGTGTTTTTCTGGTTTGGATCATCAAGAAGGAAGAAGATGGCACCAAGAGGTAAAAGAAAGCTGACTAGTTCTCAGTTTTTCATTTTTAGGCAATCTGACCCAAATTTTGTTCCAAACGTAAGAAAATTAGCTATTAATAGTCTACAAAGATGACCCTGTCTTCTATTACCCCATATTATTTGGGCATTTCTCTACAGAAATTGTAGAGATTTATTCCGATTTTGAACGGTACATTTGCATTTGTTTGGGTTACAGGTGACATATTAGAGGCAACAGAGCTGCAGGGTCCCGTTAATTACAGCTACAGAGATCTGAATTCAGCAACCCAAAACTTCAGTCTGGAAAATAAATTGGGAGCAGGAGGATTTGGTGATGTATACAAGGTGGGTGAGTCAAATTGCCGTAGAGAAAGCTTTTTTCCATCTGAATTGTACAAAAAAAGTGTAGTTCTGTTGCAGACGATTCATTTTTAATACTATTACCAAAAATTTGAAAAAAAAAATGGGCAGGGTGTTCTCAAGAGCGGAAAGGTAGTGGCAGTGAAGAAGCTAGCAATCGACCAATCTCTCAGAGCAAAAGCAGATTTCGAAAGCGAAGTGAGGATCATTAGCAATGTTCATCACCGGAATCTCCTCCGCCTACTCGGCTGTTGCAGCAGAGGTGCTGAACTTCTTCTTGTCTATGAATTCATGCCCAATGGCAGCCTCGATAAATTTTTGTTCGGTAAGGACTCTTAATCTCTCTTCTTCGGCGCATCATCCTCATTTCTCGTCTAATTTCTTTTTGTTCATGGAAACCAAACAGGTGAAAAGAAAGGATCTCTCAACTGGAAGCAGCGATTTGATATAATCCTCGGAACAGCGAGAGGCCTCGCCTATCTTCACGAAGAATTCCACCTCTGCATTATTCATCGTGACATAAAGCCTAGCAATATTCTTTTGGATCATGATTTCCAGCCTAAAATTGCGGATTTTGGTTTGGCAAGGCTTCTTCCTCAAGATCGGAGTCATCTCAGTACCAAATTTGCAGGAACACTGTGAGTTTCAGTCTGCAATCAAACTCTAACTGTAGGATTGGAGGCCTCCAGCAATGTAACAATTTATTTGTTTTTTGGTTTCCAAATTATTATTCAGGGGATACACAGCCCCAGAATATGCAATACTGGGACAATTATCTGAGAAGGTGGATGCTTACAGCTATGGTATCGTTGTTCTTGAAATCATTAGTGGCCAGAAGAGCAGCGAGGCCAAATCTGATTCTGATGAATTCCTACTCAAACAGGTGAACCTTCCATTCTTCAATTCAAATTCTTAAGACTTTTTCATGGATGTCAAAAGTTGAATTGGAGAAAGGATATTGAATTGTTAAGTTTTCCGCTTAATTTCAAGGGTTGGGGTTTGTACGAGAATAACAGACACGAGGAACTTGTGGATGAGACATTAGACAGAAGCGAATACCATGCAGAAGATGTCAGGAAAGTGATTGAAATTGCTTTGTTGTGTACTCAGGCATCTGCTGCTTCCAGACCAAGCATGTCTGAGGTAGTTGTTTTGCTGAGAAGCAAAGGATCCCTTAATCGCCGGCCAACTACCAAGCCCATTTTTGTCGAATCAGATAAAAAGGTCCGAGTGGGGACATCCACCTCCACTGGCTCCTCTGTATCCAATGCAACGGTCTCCATCACTGAGGTCTCTGGTCGCTAAATCTTCTTAGCTAGATTACATTCCATGTCCAAAGAAGAGAAAAATTCAATGGTGTTAAGGTTTCTTTTAAGGGAGAGAGGAAAGACTAGACTAGGAGAGGAGGAGAGAACTTAGAACATGAACATGAATAGAACGTAAACATGGAAGGGTGTAGACATTCTCCTAACCAGAGAGGAGAAACCATGCTTTCTCACACTCAATTTTCATTCAATTTCTTCCTTCCTTTTTAGAGCAGTGCTAGGGGCACTCGCCTCCTGCACTCTCCGGCCAACACATGCTTTTGTATTGGGCCACGTAAGCATACTTGTGCCAGAAATGATTACCTCTCCAGCAGCCAACATAACGTGGCCTGATGAAAATGAAAGTGTTGGTTGGAGAGTGCAAATGGCAGGTGTTCCTAGCATTGCTCTCCTTTTTATATGGAAAGGCTACATATAAAACAATAATATTTTTCTACCTAATACAATAACAATTAGCTACCTAAAACATTGACTAAAATGTTGAAGTTTGCTATCATTTCTTGTAGCCCACATGTAATTCCATGTTGCGGTCACTTTGCTGCTACTATGCAATCATGTTGCAGCATCATTTAATCATTTAATGGCTCACATTTCATTGCATTTGTAGCTTTCATGCCATATTTTTTTTCTCTCTTCTAGAGTGATAACTATCTAGAGAGAGAAAAGAGTGTTAGCTCCATGGCGCATTCCCATTGGAACTCACCCTCCGTCTCTAGTCCATATTGTCTAGCAGCAGTTTCCTTGATTATTGCTTCCGACAACCCCCTTACTACTTTTCTAGTACTTTAGGTAGTGGATGTTTTGTGGGCAAAGCTTAGTTCAGAAATCAAGAAAATTGAGAACCCCACCTTTACAGATATGAATTCTTGCTCTAGGTCAGTCCCCTTTCATTTGGATCCCGTGTTGCCCACCTCTACTTGATGTTATTGCCGATTCCAATAAGAACAAGCTTTCCTTCCATCCTCCTGAATTGCCTAATGGCAAATTAGTTGTCAAAGTTCCTCATTCTGTTCATGAAGAAAGGGTTAAATCTTGGGAGGATTGTCTTGTGTGTACATTTTTGGGTGGATCCTCTCCTAATTTTGGTGAAATTGTCTTTTTTGCAAACAAGCTTTGGCGGTGCAAGGGTAGAATTCAAGTTACAGGATTGGGAAATAACACATTCTTGTTTTGTATTCCTAATCTTGCAATAAGAGAATGGATCTTGAATTCCAAAGTTCCATGGCATATATCTCATAAGTCCTTGTATTTGCGTTGTTGGAAGCCTAATGTAGATCTCATTAAGGAGAAATTCACAAAAGTTCCAATTTGGGTTAAGATTTGGGGTGTTTCGATGTCGATGTATACATTTGAAGGGCTAGAATACATTGCTAGCACAGTTGGTACACCTCTATCACTTGATAAGGCCACTAAATAGTGAACTTGTATCAATTTTGCCCAAGTATGTATTGAGATAGATATGGAAAGGGTCCATGATCTCCTTGATTTAGTAACTGTTGAAGTGGAGAATGATGTGTTTGTGGATGTTATGTTTGTATATCCTTGGTTGCTAGCATAATGTACAACTTGTAAGAAAGAGGGACACACAACTACACAAGTAAGGATTGCACTAGGCAGGTTTTAAGTAAGTAGGCCCCTAAGCAAGAACGGAAAGTGGTGTTTGGGAAGGAAAAAGCTTTAGGAGGATAAGGATTCTACTGCATTAGCTGAATCTGGTGACATTTAGACTCGTTTGCCCTCCAAAGATATTCAAATGATTCAATCCCCTTCTATTCCAATTGTTCAGCCATCACATCAAGCTACTCCACTTTGTGAGAATGTGAATGAGAATCTTTTTGAAATCCTGATTGAAGTGTATTTGACTTTGTACTAGATATTAGACAAGTTGTTGCACCTAGAAGATCTAGAGTAGCTTCCCAAAGGGTGGCTATAGTAACTAAACCTTGATTCCAAAGCAAAGGTAGTCCAAGAGAAGTGTGAGTTCCTCTAGTGAGGTGTCATCATCACACCTAAAATGAAGCTACTTTTCTAGAATATAAGAGGCATAAATATGCCTAGTAAATGAAAAAACTTATAAAAATATTTAGTGCAGTATTATGTAGATATTTTTTGTCTATTGGAAACCCATGTTCAGTAACATAAGTTTTTAGAGGTATGCAAAGTTCTATTTCTAGGTTGGTCTATTTTGCACAATATGAATATGCAAGATTAGGTAGAATTTGGATATTCCATAGAGATCACATTCAAATTCTTACATTAGTAATGAACCACCAAATTATTCATTGTCATGTGCTTGACAAACTTTTTGGCAATTAGCTTTTCCTCAGTGATGTTTATGCTGATTCTTATGATGAAATTGTGAGAGAGAGATTATAGGCTGACCTGGTACTAATGAGTAAAGCTCTCCCTCTTGTCCCCTAGATTATAGCTGGTGATTTTAATGAGATAAAAGCCATTCATGAAAGGTCTAATTGACATTCTCTTGCTTGCCTTCTTGTAGAGTCAGAAGTCTTCCATAATAGTTTGAATGAGATTGAATTGGTTGATTTACCTGCTACTGGTCCCATCTACACTTGGTTAAACAAAAAGCTTGAGGGTCTCATTTCCAAGAAGCTTGATCGATTGATGGTTAATGAAACTTGGCTAGATACTTATCCAAACACCAAAGTTGAATTTCTCCCTCCAAGATGTTCTGATCATAGTGCAAGGCTTGTAGAGATTGCAACACCAATATGTGGCACACGGAGGAAACCCTTCAAATTTTTTAGCTTTTGGACTAAGAATGATAAATTTTTGGTAACAGTAAAGGAAACAAGGGATAATTTCCATGTCTTGGGCTATTGCATGTTCCAACTTTGCTAGAAATTGAAAGCTTTGAAATTTGCCCCAAGAAAGCTGAATAAGGAAAACTATATTGATCTTCCTAATAGGTTACAACAGGAAAGAACCAAATTACATGCCTTGTAGACAAACTTACTAACCTGTCCACACGAGGATTTGGTTCAAGTTGAGATCATGCACGGATTGAAGGCAATTTACATTTAGTAAAGTAAATGTTTTATAAGCAAAAATCAAGGATTAGATGGCTAAGTGAAAAAGATGGCAATACAAACTATTATCACAAAATACTGAAGGTTAAGAAGAGTAGGAGCACTATCAAAGAACTTGTAGATTCAAAAAATAAGAGAATTACTACTCTTCCTAAGCTAGAGTCTAAGGCCATAACTTTTTACAAGAATCTATTACGAACCTCTGATCCACATTGCACTAGAACTGATGAAACTTGGCTCAAAGACTTATTGACTCTCAGTTCCCTTTGGACATACAAGAATCTCTTGTTAGAAATGTTTCTGAGGATGAAATAAGGAATGTGGTTTTTTCCACTCTTAGTAATAAGGCCCCAAGACTTGATGGCTTCACTTTAGAGTTTTACAAGGCAGCTTGGTTTATAATAGGTGAGTTGGTTGTTAAAGCTATTTAGGAATTCTTTGCTTTTGGTAAACTTTTACAGTAGATGAATTCTAAAATATTCTCTCTTATTCATAAAGTTCCTAATCCTTCTAGAATGTCTGAATATAGACCCATATCCTGCTGCAACTTGGTCTATAATTTCATAACAAAGATTATCGCCAACTAATTGAAGATTTGCTCGCCACTGTTTATCAATAGAAATTAGTGTGCATTTATCGAGGGTAGATTGATGCCTAAGAATGTCCTTCTAGCACATCAGCTAGTTAAGCATTGCCATGAAGACAACCTTAGTTCTAGATGTGCACTTAAGATAGACATTATGAAGGCTTTTGACTCTATTTGTTGGGATTTTATATTCTAAATATTGACTATCTTGCGATTCCCTTCACAATTTATAGATTGGATAAAGGCTTTCATTACTACTACCATGTTTTCTATCTAGTTCAATGGGGATTTGATTGGATATTTCCTTGGGAAAAAGGGAATTCAGTAGGGTGATCCATTGTCTCCACACATTTTTGTTATTTGCATGGAAGTTCTTTCTAGGCTACTAAATAAAGCTACTTCTGAGGGACTGATTGCTTATCATCCAAAGTGTGCTAGAGTGCCGCTTACTCGTTTATGTTTTGTAGATAATTTGTTCATCTTCATTGATGGTAGTGATACTTCCCAATTGGAGATTGATGAAGTTTTGAAGGCTTTTTATGCTCATTCTGGTATGAAAGTCAATTACATCAAATTTGAAATCTTTTGTTATGGCTTATCTGATTCTACTATTACTTCTTTGAGTGGTGCATATGGTTTTAAGGTTGGAACACTTATAGTAAAATATTTTGGCATCCCCTTGGTTATTGGAAAGCTCTCTAAGAAGGAGCTTAGGCCATTAATAGCAAAAATTATAGACAGAATGTCTTCTTGGCTTGCTAAACATCTCTCTTTTGCAGGACGATTACAACTACTATCCTCTATCATTTAGGGAATTACAAATTTCTAGTCCTCCATGTTCATCCTTCCAAAGAAGGTTATTAGAGAAGTTGAACAAAAATGCAATGCTTTTCCCTAAACTAACACTACTGAGACAGCTAAAGGGGCTAAAGTAAAATGGGAATCTTTATGTTTTCCTAAACAAGAAGGTGGTCTAGGTATTAAAGGGCTTGAACCACAGAGCATTTCTTGCATAATGAGATGCATTTGGATGATTTTGTCTGAAGCAAGCTCAATATGGGTAGCCTGGGTGTATAAGTATCTATTGAAAAATTGCAATTTTTGGATAGTTCAAGTTCTTGTAGATGCTTCATGGGGCTAGAGAAAAATCCTTAAGCTTCAACCAAAGGCCAGAGATCTTATTAAGCATATTCTGAGGGATGGCAAGGACATATTCATTTGGCATGATGCTTGGCATCTAGCTGGTCCATTGATTGAAACTTATGGATCCAAAATAGTTTGTGATGTAGCTAATCCTTATCAAGAAAAGCTACTTGTGGTAGTGCTAGGTAATTATTGGAACTAGCCTCCAACCCGCTCTCCATAGTTAGTTTAGATTCAAGTTGATCTATGTAGCAAGCTATATCCTAAAGAGGGAATTAAAGATACTATTGTCTGGGTACCCTTAGCCTTTGGAAGATTTCATACAAGGCAGACATAGCATTGGCTAAGAAAAAGCACAACAAGGTTCCTTAGTTCAAGCTAATATGATTCTCGAACTCTATTTCCAAACATAGCTTCATTGGGTGGTTGGCCATTTTGAATAGGCTTACCACTAAAGCAAGGTAGAAAAAATGGACATCAAGCATTAATGATATTTGCACTTTATGTTGGTCAATATCGGAAACATGTCAACTCATGTTTTTTAAGTGTAGTTTTTTAGCTCAGATTTGGTAGACATTATCATCCATGGCTAGCATTCCTTTTCATGATTCATATCTCACTTTATTGGCTTGGATGGGGGAAAAAATTAAGAGG